GAGGTCGTCCACAATGGTCAGGAAATAGCGGCTGCCCGAGAGAGAAAGGGCCCTCGTGGGGCCCACCACATCCATGTGCACAAGCGCGAGCGGTGCCTTGGCTGGTCCAGTGCTACTGCTGAAGGGAAACTTCGTGAACTTGGTCTCAAGGCATGTAGGGCAGCTCCCAATCTCCTTTGCTGCCCCCTTCACCTCCAACCCCTTCAAGCTCCCATCCTTCACCAACTTCTGCAGCATTGGTATGTTGATGTGGCACAACCTCTCGTGCCACGTCTCCCGATCGGCCTCACCACTCCTAGATGAAGCCTTTGCCCATGCAGCTGTTGCATCCACACCGTCAAGCACCTCACCATGTGGCTGCTGTGGCTGCTGCACCTTCTTGACTGCATCCAGGGCCCCAGCAGTTGGTGTAGTCTCCTCTCCTCCCGCAGTTGCCTTAGCCGCTGCCGCTGCCTTTGCCGTTGCTGGTGGTTTCCCGTTCCAAGGGATGATGGGCAGCTGCCATAGGTCCTTGATGCAGCTGCTCTTCTCCTCCAAATCCCACAGTATCAACTTCCCACGGCAGCTCGTTGGGCCGAACGTAACTTTGGCCTTGCTTTTCTGCAGCCGGCGCACAGAAAGAAGGTTAGCGGATAAACCTTCAACTAGCAGGACATTCCCAAGTCCCACAAGTCCCCCATTGGCTCCCATCACCTTGGCATTCCCAACACCAATCACAGGGAGCAAAGCACCTGAAGCGGCAGCCACAAACTTGATCTTCCCAGGGGGTTTCACCTCATCAAGCAAATCTGCCCGCGGAGTCATGTGACTCGTGCAGCGTGAATCGATCACCCAGTGAGTGAGGGGGTGCATCACAACCTTCCCAACCGAACCCACATCATCCTCACTCACTTTCACATCCTCAACCATGAGGAACAACCCAGGGTCGGCTTTACCTTGTGCACCATCACCTTGTGCACCTGAACCTTGCACAGCGCCACCTCGTGCACGTTCACCACTTGGCGGCTTCATGCCTGGAGGCGCCCATCCTTCAGGCCGGCTGAAACACTTGAACCACGGGTGTCCAGCCTTCTTGCAGTACCAGCACGCACCCTCCATTCGGGTGCTCCCCCTGCCACTAGAGCTCCCATGCCCCTCGTTGTAGTCACCTCGGCCTCTCCCTCTGCCAAAGCCTCTCCCACGGCCTCGGCCTCTCCCTCCCCCTCTTCCTCTGCTGCCACCTGCAGCTCCATACCCCTCAGCAGTTTTGTTGGCAGCACCACCTCCCGTGTGGCGCCTGCGGAAGTCCTCCTGCAGGATCTGCTGCCGTAGCCACTCCGACGTCCATTTGTCCTGCTGAACGTTGAGGGTGGGGATGAGATTGTCCCATGAGTTGTCGAGCACTGAGATGATCTTGGTGCACTGCTGGATCTCCGACACTTTGCTGCCCGCCGCTGCCATCCTCGCATAGGTGTCCTTGATCTTGTCAAGGACCGGCTTCACATCATCTCCCGGTCGCATGGAGAGGGCAGCCAGCTCCTTCTCCAATACGATCACCATCGGCAGCGTGTTGGGCTGAACCACGTCGCGTAGAAGCTTCCACGCCTTCGGTCCGGAGTCGTCCAGCTCCACTAAGTCCTTGATGTGCTGGAACATGTCATTGTTGACTGATTGTAGAATCAGGTCGTACAGCACCGCGCTCCGCTCAATCCACCGGTCGCGGGCATCTCCTTCCTCCGGCATCTTCTCTTCTCCCATCGCAAGTTTCAGCAGCTTGTAGCGCTTGAAAGCGCTCCGCATCCGCCCGCTCCATTCCTCATAATTGGAGCCATCCAAAGCTTCGATCTTGGATGGTGGCGGTTCACTCTTCTTGTCAGCTGCTTCTCCACTCCCTTGACTCATCTCCTCTACACCCTATCAGAGGTTTCAGCTCCCCCTTTGCTGTCCACACCGAAGTCCCACACAATTTCCACAAGTGTCGGCGCCAACGAAATTTCGGCAGAGTTTTCCCTTAGCGGAAGTCACTCCCAACCTCCAGAACTCCACTTAGGCACGCCCACAGGCCATGGTGGGTCTAGGAGGGTCTTCACACTTCAGTAGACTCCCCACAAAGTCCTCAATCAGCTCTGATACCACTTGTTAGAGATTAAGGACGGAGTCTATGAAGATTAGGTGCCGAACTATCATAAAATCGTTGGTCTCAATTTCTGGACAGAAACCGCGACTTCACAAGAAACGCCGTCGACGAAAAGCGCACCGTTAAAACTCCACCAATTTCGGATATGTTGTAGCTCTAGTCCGTGGCTACAATTCCCAACTTGGATCTCATCAAAAGGTGGAGTATTTCGCGAGATATTAATTTCGGCGCACTAGGGGGTAAGCTGCCACAGAATCTTAACTCAATCACAAGAGTCACAAGTTCAAAAAGTTACACACAAGAGAATTAGAGTAGCACTAAACCAGGTGGGAGGGAAGAGGAGGACGAGAGGGAAGGTCCCAAGGGAGTCCCCAACCAAGGAAACCCCATGCCACACAATTTCCCTCTCCATAGGCAACCCCACTTTCACTTTTGTCACTATCCCAACCCATGCCATCCACCTCAACCCACTTGGCCACACTTGCCAACCTGGTTTGGCTTCTCCCAACCACATGGCAGCAATCTACAGTGATGGGTTCGAATTCCCAACCCCAAAAGTCTGTACCCCATAATGAGTCACTCAACAAGTTCTTACAGTCGCCGCAACCAAAGTACAGAAAGCATACGAACTCCAACGTTCGTAACTTTCTTGTTCTTGCTCCGATCGCGACGATTCTTGGTTCGTCGGAAAGCTCTTGAGCAGAGCAGTCACTTCAGATATCTGCTCAAGTCAAATATCATTTTCACACACTCAGAAAATCCAAACCGCGCAAAACACAAATTCTTGCACACGCTCACACCACGCATGCAACACACGAACACATGATGGGAGGCAGACAGACGTGAATGCATATGGTTGCATCACACAACATCGGCGTCCTTGGCCGGCTTCCCACCTCCGCTACCACCGCTGCCAGGCTTGCCGCGCTGCCCTGGTCGGCTACCTTGCTTCGTCGGGGCAGCGTAGTTCGCCTGCAGCAGGAGCTCCGTGGACTTCTCGGCCTCCTGCATCGCCTCGTCCTGCAGGATGTACGAGGTAAAGGAATCCTCGTTGAGTGTCGCCCGCGTGCTCGGCGCCATCGACAGCCGCTTTAGCAGGTTGTAGCTGCTCGGGATCCCCTTTAGAATGTGCGTGACATACGACGCCGTGGAGTACTGCACGCCGGCCATCCTCATGGTGGCGAGAAGTCGCTGTGCTCGGTTGTAGTAGTCCGTCGCTGCTTCCTGCTCGCCCATCCGCAGGTGCGTCATCTGCTCCTCGAGCTGGCCGATGTACAGGTCGTCGGTGACCTGGTACGTCGACTCGATGAAGTGCCACACCCGGTGACCGGCGTCCAGGTACTCCCTGCACCACTTCAAGGCGATCTGCACTCCCGGCGAGCAGCACCGCGATATGACTGTAAAGGTCAGCAGCTGCACGGCGCGGAACTCCGTACGTAGGTCGGGGTAGATCTCCTCCGACGTCGCCACGGTCCCGCGAGCGAAGCCGATCAGCCCGGCCATCTCCAGCTGAGGCTCGATCGCCTCCTTCCAGGTGAGAATTTCCGGTCGACCGACCAGCAGAGGGGTGACCTGGATCCTGTCCGGCGTAAACTTGAAGTAGCCGTAGCTCGGTGCAATCCCTCCTGCTGTCACGTGTGACGCCGACATCGGCGCCAGTCCACTTCGTCGGCCTCCGACGCCACCCTGCGAGGCCCCTGCAGCCGCCGACGACTGCATTCCTCGCGCCTGAACGCCGCCGACTTCATCGGCGTGTATCACACCTCTCTGCCTCGACGTGCCTCCCGCACTGCTGCCAACCTGGTCACCAGCGTTGACGCCCACGTCGACGCCGCTAGCGTTGTTCACCGGTCGAGGAGACGCTGATCGAGAAGGGTGCTCCGCCGCCCACAAAGCATGGATGCCAGCCTCAACGACCGCCAGCGCGAGAGTTCCGTACTCATTCGCCGCGTGGCGTCTCCTCGCATCCTCCAGCCATGCCTCCAAGGTGTCCACGACACCCACCTCAACTACGGGGTCCACCATGGCGTCCAACACAGCCGCCGGACCATCCGGGGCCAGTAATAATACTTTGCTATTCCCGCTAACGTCTTGTTGCTCCCGAAATGTCCCGCGTATGGTACGTCGTGAAACTCCTCTAACAGGATCTGCCGTAGCGGGGCGTAGTTCGGTACCCAAATCTTTCCTGAACCCTTCCTTACCGCTAAGTCTTTCTCCCACTGTAGCAGTTTCTGTTTCTCTGCTGTTACTATCTCGCCATCCACGGAGTACCCATGTTGGAATAGACCCTTGAGCAGAGGGTTCATCCCGTCAAGCTGGATGCCTGCTACATGACCTGGGCGGCTCAACGCGTCTGCTTTGTTGTGGAGCCCTGGTTTGTAGACGATGTCGTAGTGGAAGTGGGTCTCCAAGAAATCCACCCACCGCACCTGTCGTCGTGAGAGCGTCGGCTGCGACTTCAGGTACTTAAGACTGCAGTGGTCAGTGTATACTGTGGTCTTGGCTCCCTCTAGGTAACACCTCCACGCCTTGAAGGCTACAACTATAGCTAAGGTTTATTTTCGTGGATGGGGTAGTTCAGTTCTGCTCCGTGTAACTTCTTACTGAGGTAGGCGATAGGCTGTAAACCGTTCCCGTGATCCTGCATCAGTACTGCTCCGACTGCCTGGTCACTAGCGTCTGCTTCAACTACGTAGTCCTTCTCGGGGTCCGGTAGGATGAGTACTGGCGCTGTGGTCAGTGCTGTCTGTAGCTGTTCCATGGCTTGCTGATGAGGAGCACCCCATTTGAAGGGCGTGTCCTTTTTCAGTAGGTCTGTCAGTGGCGCTGCTATCTTAGCGTACTGCGGCACAAACCTGTTGTAGTAGTTGGCGAAGCCTAGGAACTACTGCAACTCCTTCACGTTCTCTGGAATCTTCCACTTCTGGACAGCTTCGATTTTCCGCGAGTCCACGTGTACGCCCTCGACACTCACCATGTGCCCGAGAAACTGCACCTTCTTCAGTGCAAAGTCGCTCTTTGACAGCTTCACGTAGAACTTATTTTTCCGCAGGATCTCGAACACCTTCCGCAGATGCTCCACGTGCTCCTTCATGTTCTTGGAGTAGATGAGAATGTCGTCCAGGTACACTACTACGCACTCGTCCAGCAGGGGCCGTAGGATGTGGTTCATCTCCGCCTGGAACGTCGCTGGTGCGTTGCAGAGTCCGAACAGCATCACCAAGTATTCGTAGGAGCCGTATCTCGTACGGAACGCCGTCTTGTGGATCGAGTTGTCCGCCATCTTGATCTGCCAGTAACCCGACCGTAGGTCCAGCTTCGAGAAGACTGTTGCACCACGTAGTTGGTCCAGTAAGTCGTCGATGCGCGGTATGGGGTATTTGTTTTTTACTGTCTATTTGTTCAGTGCGCGGTAGTCGATGCACATCCGTAAACTGCCGTCTGGTTTCGGTGTGAAGAGAACTGGTGCGCCGTAGGGAGAGGTGGATGGTCGGATCAGTTGTCTGTCCAGTAAGTACTCGATCTTATTTTTCATGTCTGTCAGCTCGGTCGGACTCAGTCGGTAAGGTGCACGTGAGACGGGTTTCGCACCTGGTTCCTCCATGATCTCGTGCTCGTGGGTGCGTGCAGGAGGTACGCCTGCAGGTAGGTCGTCGGGCATTATATCCTTGTACTGCTGCAAGACCTCGTTCACTGCTGCGGATAGCTCGGAACTCGGCTTCTCCTCCTCTGCTGCTGCCATGACCAGTGCTAGGTAACCCGTGTTACTCTCGTTCACCGTCTGTTCGAACCGTGCCAGTGTCGTTTCAGGAATGTCCCCTGTATCCGTCCAGCTTCGCAGTGCTATCCGCTTCCCGTTGTTGTAGATGCACACCTTGCTGTTGACCCAATCGATCTCGGGGTTGAACCGCTTCAGAAAATCTCGCCCCAAGATAAAATCTAACCCTTTGATGTTGGTGACTGGTAGCTTCGGCTTCCATCTCAACGCACCTATGTGCAGCTGCAGTGATGCTTCGCCGTGGATAGGAAGCTTCGTACCGTCCACCATGGTTGCTAAAAACCGGGTCTCCTCCGCCTTCTCTCCAATTTTCTCCAATGTTTCGCGGTCGCACACCGAGTGGGACGCACCGCTGTCCACCAGTGCCTGGAGGCGTCGCCCATTGCATAACACCTCGAGGAGTAGTGGTTTCTGCTGCGCTGAGTAGCCAAAGAGGGTCTCATTAATAGGATCATAGGGTACATCAAAATGAATACCTTCCCTACTTCCTATACCCGACTCAGCACTTTCCAACTTCACCTGAGGGGTAGGAGGATTTTTCCGAGGCTTGTATAATTTCTCCTGAGCCTGGATGTCTCCTCTAAGCCTTTGCAGCTGTGTAGGCTTCACCTGTGGGCAACGGGGAGCCTTAACACTATGCTGCGGGGAGAGAATATTAACTCCACGGAACGCACGACCCTTTTCTACGCTCCGTAGTACTTTGCCCAACTTCTCAGGTACCTGAATAATTTCTAAAGGCTTTTTCTTGGCCTCTAACTCTCCCCTGAATTTTTCAAAGGCTTGAAAACCACGAGAAGCAATATTTTTCGTTAGAGTATCTTTATAGGATACTTTTAACGAATTCTTACTTTCGTGGGTGTTCGGCTGGAGTTTCCCGGTCGGTGCAGAGTCTTTTTTCGTGGAGCCACCATTCGCCTTGGCGATTTCCCCTGATGTCGGCCGGTCGTGATGTTTTAGATTCGTGCCATCATTTTCTCATTTTTTCACCCGCTCCGAAGTCGTCACGTCGTCTCCATTTTCTCCTTTTCGGATCTTTACGCGATCGCCAGGTCGATCCGCGGCTACTGCCGATTGCCATTTTTTGACTTCGGGGGTGCTCCACTGTTACCGTCCCGGAGTGCCGCACGTGCTTTCTTCATTTTGTAGCACGACAAAATTCGCATTTCGCCGACTGCTGCTTCGCGTCAAATTTGTCGATATCCATCGGTTCGGCGAACGTGGGGGGTGCCGATCGCTCCGTGCCGAATGTACGGTTCGGCGCGAAACGTCGTGTTTCGGGTTGACCTCGAGTCAGCGCGTCGTATCGTTCGGCTGCACGCACGATGTCCCTGTAGCTGTTGTAATTCGCCGCAATCACCTGCCGCCGAATCTCCAATTTTAACCCTTCTGTGTACGCCTGGATTTTTTCGCCTTCGGTCAGGTCGGGGATGCGGTTGAACAGTAGCTCCATCTGCTGCGTGTACTGTGCTACACTACTGTACTGCTTGTGCCGATGAATTTGTTGTCGCGCCATGTAGGTCGTATTAATGGGTTCGAAACGTTCGATGAGGTCTGCCCGAAACTGCGCCCACGATTTCTCCCCGCGGGCCACGTCAGTGTTGTAGATCCACTCGAGTGCCGGTCCACGTAACAGTGTCGCTGCGAGCCGAATTCTTGCTGCGTCATATGTCGGGGTCGAACAGCCAATGGCCTCGAAGTAAATTTCGAGGGTGGCCACGAATCGCCGGACGTCGGATCCCTTCGCGCTTGGATCGAACGCCTCCGGGAGCCTCGGTCGTGCTGCTTCGAGGTTCGGCGACAGTGGTGCCATCGGTCCGTGAAATGTCGGTGTCGCCACTGCTGCTGGTGTTGTCGGTACTGCATTCGATGCGGTCGCTGCAGCTGCGGTGGCGAAGCCTGGTTGGTTTGTCAGAAGGGCTTCGAGTCGACGAAGCGTCGCCTGCGTCTGCTCCATGTCGGTGCGGAGGCTCGCGATGTCGCTCGTAGTCGCGTAATTGTCGCCTTGGCCCTCCATGCCTGACATCAACGCGTCCGAAAAAAACGAATCGAGGGGGAGCGAAAAAACACGGAACCGGTTTTACGTACCCGAAATCGATGTTTAACTGCGTCGCCCCCGCGGTTTTTTTAAGACTGGTTTTTAGCGGTCGAAAAAACTTCGCGTGTAAACGGGCTCTGATTACCAAGTGTGAGGATCTAGGATCGAGCTCAGAAAAGAGAGTTGTGAATTGAATGATCACCTGGGTACAACACGAGGCTATATATAGGCTCGACACAAGGCAGGTAACCTAGGTGTTACGCGAATGTTCTGAGGGTCGCGAAGCGTCCCGAACAGAACCTTCCCGAACTCAGTAGAAAGCAATTCGGTGGCAACCGAATAGCTTGAGTTCGGTACACGTAACCTGGTTCGGTGCCTATAACTATAATAACTATAGTAAAGCAACGAACCTAGGAAATCAAGCAATTCATGCATGCAGAAAATAAACCTAAGCTAGGAATAGCGTAAGGAAATAAAAGCAAGCATGCATGGCTGGCATAAGCCGTCATAGTCTCACACACGTGACCCGGTGGAAGAAAAACGCTCGGAACGAGCGCTAGTACCCCCAAAACGCGGAAGGATCCGCACATGTGCACGAAGTGCAGCGGGCGCTCTTCATTCGCGAGCGCCGATGACCGATGATGCTCGCAACCCTCCCACGCCCTTGCTGGCTTGGCAAGAGGACTAGACAAGCGCAGCCACATGACCCGGCGGAAGAAAAACGCTTGGAACGAGCGCCTCCACCCCCAAAACGCGGAAGGATCCGCAACATGTGCACGAAGTGCAGCAGGCGCTCTTCATTCGCGAGCGCCGATGACCGATGATGCTCGCATCCCTCGCACTCCCTTGCTGGCTTGGCAAGAGGACCAGAAAAGCGCAGCCACGTGACCCGGCGGACGAAAAAACGCTTGGAACGAGCGCCTCCACCCCCAAAACGCGGAAGGATCCGCACATGTGCAGGAAGTGCAGTGGGCGCTCTTCATTCGCGAGCACCGATGACCGATGATGCTCGCAACCCTCCCACACCCTTGCTGGCTTGGAAAGAGGACCAGACAAGCGCAGCCACGTGACCCGACGGAAGAAAAACGCTCGGAACGAGCGCCTCCACCCCCAAAATGCAGAAGGATCCGCACATGTGCAGGAAGTGCAGCGGGCGCTCTTCATTCGCGAGCGCCGATGACCGATGATGCTCGCAACCCTCCCACGCCCTTGCTGGCTTGGCAAGAGGACTAGACAAGCGCAGCCACATGACCCGGCGGAAGAAAAACGCTTGGAACGAGCGCCTCCACACCCAAAACGCGGAAGGATCCGCACATGTGCACGAAGTGCAGCGGGCGCTCTTCATTCGCGAGCGCCGATGACCGATGATGCTCGCAACCCTCCCACGCCCTTGCTGGCTTGGCAAGAGAACCAGACAAGCGCAGCCACATGACCCGGCGGAAGAAAAAGGCTTGGAACGAGCGCCCACCCCCAAAACGCGGAAGGATCCGCAACATGTGCACGAAGTGCAGCAGGCGCTCTTCATTCGCGAGCGCCGATGACCGATGATGCTCGCCTCCCTTCCCACGCTCTTGCTGGCTTGGCAAGAGGACCAGAAAAGCGCAGCCACGTGACCCGGCGGACGAAAAAACGCTTGGAACGAGCGCCTCCACCCCCAAAACGCGGAAGGATCCGCACATGTGCAGGAAGTGCAGTGGGCGCTCTTCATTCGCGAGCACCGATGACCGATGATGCTCGCAACCCTCCCACACCCTTGCTGGCTTGGAAAGAGGACCAGACAAGCGCAGCCACGTGACCCGACGGAAGAAAAACGCTCGGAACGAGCGCCTCCACCCCCAAAACGCGAAAGGATCCGCACATGTGCAGGAAGTGCAGCGGGCGCTCTTCATTCGCGAGCGCCGATGACCGATGATGCTCGCAACCCTCCCACGCCCTTGCTGGCTTGGCAAGAGGACTAGACAAGCGCAGCCACGTGACCCAGTGGAAGAAAAACACTCGGAACGAGCGCTAGTACCCCCAAAACGCGGAAGGATCAGCACATGTGTACGAAGTGCAGCGGGCGCTCTTCATTAGCGAGCGCCGATGACCGATGGTGCTCGCAACCCTCCCACGCCCTTGCTGGCTTGGCAAGAGGACCAGACAAGCGCAACCACATGACCCGGCGGAAGAAAAAGGCTTGGAACGAGCGCTTCCACCCCCAAAACGTGGAAGGATCTGCAACATGTGCACGAAGTGCAGCAGGCGCTCTTCATTCGCGAGCGCTGATGACCGATGATGCTCGCAACCCTCCCACGCCCGTGCTGGCTTGACAAGGTGACCAGACAAGCGCAGCCATGTGACGCGATGGAAGAAAAACGCTCGGAACGAGCGCTAGTACCCCCAAAACGTGGAAGGATCCGCACATGTGCAGGAAGTGTAGCGGGCGCTCTTCATTCGCGAGCGTCGATGACCGATGATGCTCGCAACCCTCCCACGCCCTTGCTGGCTTGGCAACAGGACCAGACAAGCGCAGCCACATGACCCGGCGGAAGAAAAACGCTTGGAACGAGCGCCTCCACCCCCAAAACGCGGAAGGATCCGCACATGTGCAAGAAGTGCAGCGGGCGCTCTTCATTTGCGAGCGCCGATGACCGATGATGCTCGCAACCCTCCCACACCCTTGCTGGCTTGGCAAGAGGACCTGACAAGCGCAGCCACGTGACCCTACGGAAGAAAAACGCTTGGAACGAGCGCCTCCACCCCCAAAATGCGGAAGGATCCGCACATGTGCAGGAAGTGCAGCAGGCGCTCTTCATTCGCGAGCGCCGATGACCGATGATGCTCGCAACCCTCCCACGCCCTTGCTGGCTTGGCAAGAGGACCAGAAAAGCGCAGCCACAGGACCCGGCAGAAGAAAATCTTTTGGAACGAGCGCCTCCACCCCCAAAACGCGGAAGGATCCGCACATGTGCACGAAGTGCAGCAGGCGCTCTTCATTCGCGAGCGCCGATGACCGATGATGCTCGCAACCCTCCCACGCCCTTGCTGGCTTGGCAAGAGGACCAGAAAAGCGCAGCCACGGGATCCGGCAGAAGAAAAACGCTTGGAACGAGCGCCTCCACCCCCAAAACGCGGAAGGATCCGCACATGTGCAGGAAGTGCAGCGGGCGCTCTTCATTCGCGAGCGCCGATGACCGATGATGCTCGCAACCCTCCCACGCCCTTGCTGGCTTGGCAAGAGGACCAGACAAACGCAGCCACGTGACCCGGTGCAAGAAAAAGGCTCGGAACGAGCGCTAGTATCCCCAAAACGCGGAAGGATCCGCACATGTGCACGAAGTGCAGCGGGCGCTCTTCATTCGCGAGCGCCGATAACCGATGATGCTCGCAACCCCCCCATGCCCTTGCTCACTTGGCAAGAGGACCAGAAAAGCGCAGCCACGTGACCCGGCGGAAGAAAAATGCTCGAAACGAGCGCTAGTATTCAAAGGGGTGGGGATGGCGAGCGTCTGCTCATTTGCCGCCGAGATCAAATTGTAGGTCTAGGGGGATACGAGTAGGATTGAGTGCAAAAATCCCCGGCTGGTTCGAAATTATCTATAGCGGTGCGGATTTCGCGAAAATATGGTTAAAAACGTCCCGGATGGGCCAATTCAAAGGGGGGAGGATGGCGAGCGTGTGCTCATTTGCCACCGAGATCAAGTTGCAAAGGTCTGGGGGGATACAACGATTAGGATTGTTTGCAAAATCCCCGGCTGATTCGCAATTTTCTATACCGGTGCGGATTCCGCGAAAATATGGCTAAAAACGCCCGGGGTGGGTCAATTCAAAGGGGTGGGGTAGGCGAGCGTGTGCTCATTTGCTGCCACCGAGATCAAGTTGCAAAGGTCTGGGGGGATACAATGAGTAGGATTGAGTGCAAAAATCCCCGTCTGATTTGCAATTTTCTATACCGATGCGAATTTCGCGAAAATATGGCTAAAAACGCCCCGGATGGGCCAATTCAAAGGGGTGGGGTAGAAAATCGTGTGCTCAATTTGCCGCCGAGATCAAGTTGCAAAGGTCTGGGGGGGTAAAACGAGTAGGATTGTTTGCAAAATCCCCGGCTGATTCGCAATTTTCTATACCGGTGCGGATTCCGCGAATTTATGGCTAAAAACGCCCCGGATGGGCCAATTCAAAGGGGTGGGGTAGGCGAGCGTGTGCTCATTTGCCGCCGAGATCAAGTTGCAAAGGTCTGTGGGGATACAACGAGTAGGATCGTTTGCAAAAATCCCCGGCTGATTCGCAAATTTCTATACCGATGCGAATTTCGCGAAAATATGGCTAAAAACGCCCCAGATGGGCCAATTCAAAGGGGTGGGGTAGGCGAGCGTGTGCTCATTTGCCACCGAGATCAAGTTGCAAAGGTCTGGGGGGATACAACGAGTAGGATTGTTTGCAAAAATCCCCGGCTGATTCGCAATTTTCTATACCGGTGTGGATTTCGTGAAAATATGGCTAAAAACGCGCGGGATGGGCCAATTTAAAGGGGTGGGCTAGGCGAGCGTGTGCTCATTTGCCGCCGAGATCAAGTTGCAAAGGTCTAAGGGGATAGAAGGAGTAGGATCGAGTGCAAAAATCCCCGGCTGATTCGCAATTTTCTATATCGATGCGGATTTCGCGAAAATATTGCTAAAAACGCACCGGATGGGCCAGTTCAAAGGGGTGGGGTAGGAAAGCGTGTGGTCATTTGCCGCCGAGATCAAGTTTTAAAGGTCTGGGGGGATACAACGAATAGGATCGAGTGCAAAAATCTCTGGCTGATTCGCAATCATCTATACGGGTGTGGATTTCGTGAAAATATGGCTAAAAACGTCCCGGATGGGCCAATTCAAAGGGGTGGGGATGGCGAGCAGTGCTCATTTGCCGCCGAGATCAAGTTGCAAAGGTCTGGGGGGATACAACGGGTAGGATTGTTGCAAAAATCCCTGGCTCATTCGCAAATTTCTATACCGGTGCGAATTTCA